AACGACGAGGAAATAAAAGGAAATTTCGAGCTTAGTTTCTCTTTCTTGAGAGCGCTTTCTCTTTAGAAAATTTTTCTGAAGATCGTTATCGAGTTTTCAAATTTTGGAGGGGGAATAAAACGACGAGGAAATAAAAGGAAATTTCGAGCTTAGTTTCTCTTTCTTGAGAGCGCTTTCTCTTCAGAAAATTTTTCTGAAGATCGTTGTCGGATCGAGTTTTCGAATTTTGGAGGGGGAATAAAACGACGAGGAAATAAAAGAAAATTTCGAGCGTAGTTTCTCTTTCTTGAGAGCGCTTTCTCTTCAGAAAATTTTTCTGAAGATCGTTGTCGGATCGAGTTTTCGAATTTTGGAGGGGGAATAAAACGACGAGGAAATAAAAGAAAATTTCGAGCGTAGTTTCTCTTTCTTGAGAGCGCTTTCTCTTCAGAAAATTTTTCTGAAGATCGTTGTCGTATCGAGTTTTCGAATTTTGGAGGGGGAATAAAACGACGAGGAAATAAAAGGAAATTTAGAATTAAAAGGAAGAGCTTAATTTCTCTTTTCTGAGAGCGCTTTCTCTTCAGAAAATTTTTCTAAAGATCGTTATCGTATCGAGTTTTCGAATTTTGGAGGGGGAATAAAACGACGAGGAAATAAAAGAAAATTTCGAGCTTAGTTTCTCTTTCTTGAGAGCGCTTTCTCTTCAGAAAATTTTTTTGAAGATCGTATCGAGTTTTCGAATTTTGAAGGCGGAATAAAAAGGAAATTTCTAGCTTAATTTCTCTTTTCGCGCTTTCTCTTCAGAAAATTTTCCTGAAGATCGTTGTCGTATCGAGTTTTCGAATTTTGAGACGTTTTCGTGGAAGGGGATGGAAGAGGATTCGAGATAATCGTGTCGATTTTAGAAACCTAAAAAAAAAGGGGAGAGAAGAATTTTCAGAAATATGAATTTCTGCCGATAAAGATACTATTAAAAAATAGAAATTAATAATAATAACGTGGCAAACGTTTATTAATCTTCACGAAATATTTTCGTGTTTAATTTCGTTATATACGTACACGTGAGAAGTCTGGAACGATGCGAAAGTTTGAGGTTATGTAAGCCATGGATTAACGATTAATTTGCCTTGCTCCAATTTCTTTTTCCGCCCGGAAAAATTATAATCTCCGCCAAGTATTTTCGCTACTGCGTTTGCGAAGGTAAAAGACTCTAAGGTAAAAGGAAGGCGCCGCGATCGCATAAATCAATCGGACTTTTATACAACGTTTCACGAAGGATCGCCCGTGCAAAGTTTCGACCGACTCGGAATCGCGCGAAATTCATATTGTCTTATCGTGTCTCGAATTCTGTCGCTCCCCGAGTTCCTTCGAGTTCAATGATCCTCCGTAACGTTCAGAATCCTCTGGTTAGGGATAATTACATGCATCTATCGTTCGCGTTTTATCGACGGTGGAACGAATCGTCTAACGGGTTAGGGTCATTGTGTCGAATATTTCTAACAGCCTCCATGGGACCTGTTTATTCTACGCGTTTCCGTGATTCTTTACACGCTTCGGGAAATCGTAAATTATTGTGCGAATGTGTTTCTTCAAATTCCTTTTGAACACGGCCTGTGAAATTTTTCGTTTCGCCGTCGAGCGGAATGAAAATCACCGTGTTAAAATGCAACGCGTCCCACTCTTCATTGTAATTTAGATCCTTTGATAGGAAATCTAGCGTTCGTTGTATAAATATTTATTAGAAATATTTTTGTCGATGTCGTTCGATCTTCTTTTTCTTCTTCTTTTTCTTTCTTTCTTTCTTTCTTCCTTTCTTTCTCCTTTTTTTCGTTAAACATTTGATAGTATTCGTCGTAAATAAAAAAAAAAAAATAAATAAAAAGAAAAAAAGGATGTTCTTTTCGTAGACGTATATAAAAAAAGAAAAAAGGATATAAAAGAATAAAAAGATATTTTTCTCTCTTTTCTCTTCTCCCTCCCCCCCAATTATTTCACGTTCCATTTTTCTACGAATATAGAATTTAACGTGAATTTGGAAGAAGAACCGTAATACGCATAAACAAGGAAAAATATTACAGGAAACAGAAGAATATTGTATGAAAGGACAGAGTTACTCGCATAATCTGTGAATCTGACGCGTGATTCCGCCAGAAGAAGAAAAAAATGCAAATGTCCGTGGGATCGAAATACGCGTCATCTTCTTCTGGTGCCGGTCGAAACGCGTCTTCCGGCATGTACCGTTAAATCGTTAATTAAGCCGCCCAATTAAAACAAATTTATATAAGATGCCTGGAGAGTAAACGGAGAGAAAAAGTGATGATTAAAATATCCGCCCGAAAAAAAACTTTTCCAAAAATTTCAACCATTTCCAAGCTGAATAAATTTGAAAGAAAGTAATTTATCTTCTTCGAATTCGAATTCTACGAATCATTTTCGTGCAAAATTCATTTCCAAAGAAAACCAAAACGAATGATCTCGAGGATAATAAACGGAGAGAATTAAAATATCTGCCCGAAAAAAAACTTTTCCAAAAATTTCAACCATTTCCATCCAAGCTGAATAAATTTGAGAGAAAGTAATTTATCTTCTTCGAATTCTACGAATTATTTTCGCGCAAAATTCATTTCCAAAGAAAACCAAAATGATCTCGAGAATAGTAAACGGAGAGAATTAAAATATCCGCCCGAAAAAAAATTTTTCCAAAAATTTCAACCATTTCCATCCAAGCTGAATAAATTTGAGAGAAAGTAATTTATCTTCTTCGAATTCTACGAATTATTTTCGCGCAAAATTCATTTCCAAAGAAAACCAAAATGATCTCGAGAATAGTAAACGGAGAGAATTAAAATATCCGCCCGAAAAAAAATTTTTCCAAAAATTTCAACCATTTCCATCCAAGCTGAATAAATTTGAGAGAAAGTAATTTATCTTCTTCGAATTCGAATTCTACGAATCATTTTTGCGCAAAATTCATTTCCAAAGAAAACCAAAACGAATGATCTCGAGGATCCTTTAATCCCGATATCTTCGATGGCGATAAATATAAATGCAAATGAGAAGAAGAGATGGATCTGTTGCGAGCTGTGACGACGATGGCGACGATATTCGAGGATGACAACGGCGCAAGTAGCCGTTTGGGGGCTCGAGACCGTTTGAATATTCCACCCATTTGAATAATCAATAATATCGCGAACAGGGCGCGCGCGCAAATGTAGTCGGTGGACAGATTAATCTAAATGTAAATGCCTGTAATGGCCGGCGTAATAAAATATAAAATTATGCTCCCACCTCTGGTTCGAGCTCGTTCGCCTCCTCTGACGAGAAGAATCCGCACCATTTCTTAACAGAAGCTTCTTGTTCCTTCCGTGCACATGCTTTGAATTGTCGTGATATTCCGAGCACGTGCTCGAAATTCGATCATCGGCCACTCTCTAACATTGTAGTACGCATTGTGAAACTATCATGTTGATATTAAGGAGAAATGATACCTTTCGGTTTATATCTGTTGAAAAATAAACGATTAAGCTTGTTTTGTTTATATCTCGTGTTTATATATCGTGTATTGATTCGCGTTACACGTTGAGAAATTGCGAAATTATAAATTGCGAAAACTTGGTTGGTGACATTAGAATTCCAAGAATATATTAGGGCTTTACATAACATAAACTTTTCGCTTGGAGATATACAAAATGTTTCGAGGCGTCCAATTGTGTCTGAGGAGATGGTAAATCGTCAGGGTCAAGTTATGCTCGCGAATATCTTTAGAATATAAAAAGAATGGAACGGATTATTCGTTGCGTGGAATAATTCGACTCTCACTAGGTAATTCTGAAAATAAAACGGGAAGCTTAAAATAGAAATTGAAGATTTTAGAGAGACGTCTGAGGAGCTACGCATGTTATATAGACGCGTGTATAAATGTATATTTTTTCGGTTGAGGCATTTTGACAAAAGATGGCGGATCGAATCATCGAAATTTTAAATTCGAATATTCTAAATTGAAAATGAATATTTTTTAAAAAAAATAAGTGAAAATAATTGTTGAAAAGATAAAATATATCTTCCACCATTCGAACAATAACGAATTAACATGTTCCAACGTAACTTATTACGTATCACCGTGAAAAAAAATTTGCAATGATTCTTTTATTGCTAATTATCGTTCAAAATGACCATTATTACACCTTTACATTGTAGATTCTCAATGCTACGTGGAATATTCTTCCAAGTAGAAGATCTGCATTGTAGATGTTCTGTAGTTAAAGATTCTCGATGTAAAATGTTCAAAGTGGACGAGGGAACGAAGAAGAAACATTTGCAATTATATATCGGGAAGATACGAAACAACGATAAAGTGTGCGAAGTGGTAACAACAATTCATCGTTCGACGGTTCTAATGATTCTTAATTAGAACTTTAATTTTCCGTGTCGATTAACTGTCAGTCGGGCGAAGAAGAAACAATTTGATTTCGACGATGAATTACGAGGAAAATGATCATCGAGTGTGTAATTTCGATTTCGTCGAATTCGATTTAACCGTGCGATTAATTTATTTTACAATTTATCATTTGCGAGTATGTATCCTTTGATTTCGAGTGAACGATAATAACTTCTGGAATATGTTGAAATTTCAAAAGATTTTTTACGAGATTAAAAAAAATTAAAATTAATAATTAAGAAGTGATGTTTTCTTTTTTCTTTTTCTTTTAAATTAGTTAAGAAAGTTATACGAGAATTACAATAAAATTTATAAGAAATGTCATTTGTGGAAGATTGATGAACACGTTTTATAATTTTAAAAATTGTGTTAATACACGGTAAACGAGTAAATGTATTTTTATAATATCAGCAATTCGCGATTTTATATACGAACGAATAATATGTAAATATCCACGAATACCAATACAATTATATTATTTATTCGAAAATCATCTTTCCTTAAGTTTATTACAGTTCATTGTTTTATTTTACAATGCAATAAAAACAGAGGCCAGAGTGTATACGATATTTTTTTCTCTCGCTTCCTTTGCGTCAAAGAAAAAAAAAAAGAGAAAGAGAAAGAAATCATCAATCTTCCTAAGATGACCTTCCTACGCGAAGCGTAATTAAGAAAGAAACGCGCGAGTTTCACGTATAATTTAACGCTCTTTTAAAAAATTTGGAATCTACTCAATTTTTATTTCATCGCCCTTATTGATATAACATTCCCTTTGATTATCACCAAACAAACGCAATAACGTTCAAATCCAAATCATCGTCTTCGTCATCGTCGTCCCCCCTCCTTTATTAGCTCGATCAAAAAATTAATCAAGATCGATATCTCTCTGCCGTTTGTCCGCTCCGACATCTTCGAGACGATATCACCACCGACTTACAAAACAACCGATCCGGTCGGAATCGGAATCGCTGGTCGATTTTAAACCAGCGTCGAGACCAGCTGAATCATCGTCGACGAACTCTCGATCGATTAATCGAAGCACCCATCGATCGAGTCCGTTCGATCGAACGCCCATTTCTGCCCACGATTTCTCGCATCGTGTACGTTTCGATGTACGCGAGTAAAAATTCTACGTCGTGAAAAAAAAAAAAAAAAGGCACTTAGTGGGAAGGTGGGGCAATGAGAAGAGAGGAACGACGTTGTTACGTAAAACGGAGGGATCGGACGGGGAAAAACGTTGGTTGGATCCGATGATCGAGTACCGATAAGCGTAAGATTGTGCGCACTTGCGCGACGATGATAGGACGAGGAACATAAATAATCGGGTATAAATCATGCCTCCCTTTCCATTCTTCCGACCCCGCGGGCCTGCCTCGACTCCTCTTTCGCATAATTTAATGCTGTAACTTAATGAGACGGGTGATTTTTTTGGACTTGGAATTTTCAACTTTGAATATTTGAAACTGTTTTCATTCAGGATTTTCGTTTAATTTCGATTGTTGAAATATTTCTCGATTCTGAAACATTTTATCTTTGAATCGAAATAATTCGATATAATTCGAATATTAATTTTTAACTCGAGATTGGGAAAAATTGATCAATTAGAATTTTGAACAAAATTGTTGTAATTAATGATGGGTGATTTTTTTGGATTTGAAATTTTTAACTCTGAATATTTGAAACTGTTTTCATTCAGAATTTTGGTTTAATTTTGATTTTTAAAACATTTCTGCCTTTGAATCGATCCAAGAA